ACACACACACCATCTCTTTCTCCATCTGTCTCTCTCTTGTTTTCTCTCCCTCCCTTTCTCTCTCACACACACACTTCATCTTTCTCTCTCTCTCTCTTGTTTTCCCTTTCTCTGTTTCTCTCTCTGTCTCTCTCTCACACACACACACCATCTCTTTCTCCATCTGTCTCTCTCTTGTTTTCTCTCCCTCCCTTTCTCTCTCACACACACACTTCATCTTTCTCTCTCTCTCTCTTGTTTTCCCTTTCTCTGTTTCTCTCTCTGTCTCTCTCTCACACACACTCTTCATCTCTCTCTTTCTCTCACTCTCCATCTTGCTTTCCCTCACAGACATACACTCTCCATCTCTCTTTCTTTCTCTCTCTCCACCTCTCTCTCACACACACACTTCATCTTTCTCTCTCTCTCTCTTGTTTTCCCTTTCTCTGTTTCTCTCTCTGTCTCTCTCTCACACACACTCTTCATCTCTCTCTTTCTCTCACTCTCCATCTTGCTTTCCCTCACAGACCTACACGCTCCATCTCTCTCTCTCTCTCTCTCTCTCTCCATCTCTCTCACATACACTCTCTCCATCTTTCTCTATCTCTCTCACACACACTCTTCATCTCTCTCTTTCTCTCACTCTCCATCTTGCTTTCCCTCACAGACATACACGCTCCATCTCTCTCTCTCTCTCTCTCTCTCTCTCTCTCTCCATCTCTCTCACATACACTCTCTCCATCTTTCTCTATCTCTCTCACACACACTCTTCATCTCTCTCTCTCTTTCCATCTTTCTTTCTCTCACAGACATACACTCTCCATCTCTCTTTCTTTCTCTCTCTCCACCTCTCTCTCACACACACACACTCCATCTCTCACATACACACACGTACACACACACACACACTTTATCTCTTTCTCTCACTCTACATCTTTCTTTCTCTCACAGACACACACCCTCCATCTCTCTCTCTCTTTCTCTCTCTCATTCTCTCCCCCCAATCTCCCTCTCTCCCCCCCACCCCTTACCCTTTGGTAGATGTTGTAGTGTGACAAATGTCAAAGGAATGGAAAGTTACTCAGTAACTATTTTTTTATACCCTTGATCTTATCAGTGAGCTGAGTTGGATGACTTTGGCTAATAAGTACTAACACAGCAACCTAAATGCTTGTGCTGTATATATTAAACGCACATTGCCAAGACAGCCTCCTGGGAGGCAGGGAGGGAGGGAGGGAGGGAGGCGGCCGAATGAATGAATGGAAGGAGAGCATGGTAGGGCGGTCACCAGTTTCAGCTCCCAATTGGGAAGTCTTGTTTCCGCCAACCTAGTGCTGGCGTCTTCCAAGCCATCAAATGACACGTCTGTGGAGTTTCTCAGCCATCCAGGTCATGGTTGTCCCAAAGATGCTTTTCCAAAAGGCAGCTGGACTTCCTTCGTTTTTACTTGAAGACGTTTCCCTTCTCATCCAAGAAGCTTCTTCGGTTCTGATTGAGATTACCGGTCCCGTTATCCATGGCTAACAAGATGTTTGGCTCGGTGGGTGGAGGGTGGAACTCACAGACCAAGTCAAATGGTTTATCCCAGGATGAGCAAGGCTGAGACAGCCCCTTGGCAACTGGAGCCAACGGTGGGGATCAGAGGTGGTATTCAGCCGGTTCGGACCAGTTCACCCAAACTGGTAGTGGAAATCACAAGTGGGAGGGCCACCTGCCCCTGCTCTGTGCAATCCCATTTAGGCACTTTTTCAAGCTGTGTGCATACATGTTCAAAGCACATGCACGGAAGACCGGTGTATGCATGGATGCGCGCACTCATATTTGCAAACCGGTAGGGAAAGTAAGTGAATACTCTTCCTGGTTGGGATGTGCTTTAATGGTGGGATTCAAACACTACCAGTTCTGTGGGCGTGGCTTGGTGGGCGTGGCAGGGGAAGGTTACTGCAAAAATCCCCATTTCCTCCTGATCAGCTGGGACTCAGGAGGCAGAGAATAGATTGGGGCGGGGCCAGCCAGAGGTGGCATTTACCGGTTCTCTGAACTACTCAAAATTTCCGCTACTGATTCTCCAGAAAACTGGTCAGAACCTGCTGGATTCCATCTCTGATGTGCTTGGTTATTACTTAAGCACATCAAGTTGCTTTCTGAAAGAGAAGCAGAGGCCGTGGCCTTCAAGATGCCATATACACATTATCCCAACCCAGGCTCAGCTTGGCTCGTTCTGGAATTAAGCTCCCAGAATGAGCCAACTTCATAGAATAATATGAATAACTGAATAACAGATTGGAAGGGACCTTGGAGGTCTTCTAGTCCAACTTCCAGCTCAAGCAGGAGACCCTGTAGTATTCCAGACAAGCGGCTGTCCCTTCTCACCTTAAAAACCTCCAGTGACGGAGCACCCATTACTTCTGAAGACAATTCAGTTGCAATTATTCAACTTTCAGACAACTCCACCTGGATGACTGAGAATCTTTATGGAGATTGATCTTCATTAACAAGTTTGCCTTTTGAACAAGCCATGGGCTGCAACTCTCCGAGTAATGAATAAGAATGGTTGAAATTGCTTATTTTTCTTCACCTTTCCAAAGCAGGAAGTTGTTTATTTTATGTATTTTCTTGTTTTTATTGAGTTCTTCCATTGTAACGTGCCTTGAATTTCTCTGATCTAGCTTCCTTATAAATCTAATATATTACTATTGATATTGTTATCCAAGGCTGCATGCCTGCATTCATACCATGTTTGTTCAAATAATATAGCACTTAGACTTATATACCGCTTCACAGTGCTTTACAGCCCCCTCTAAGAGGATTGCAGAGTCAGCCTATTGCCCCCAACAATCTGGGTCCTCGTTTTACCAATCTGGGAAAGATGGAAGGCTGAGTCCACCTTGAGCTGGCGAGAATCGAACTGCTGGCAGTTGGTGGTCAGCAAAAGTAGCCTGCAGAACTGCATTCCAACCACTGCACTATCATAGCTGTGGTGGGATATTTCTGTTTCTCCCCCCACATCCTTGAGCTATTAAATCAGTGTTTCTTAACATTGGCAACTTTAAGCTGTGTGGACTTCAACTCCCAGAAGACCACACAGCTTAAAGCTGTCAAGGTTAAGACATACTATGTTAGATATCCCAAAGGTGCTTTTTTCAGGAGGCAACTGGATTTTCTTCCCCTTTTTTCTTTTGAAGACATTTGGCTTCTCATCCAAGAAGCTTCTTCAGCTCTGACTGGACAGTGGGGAATGTGGAAGGATTGATATTCCTTGAAGGCAGTTGGTCATTTGCATCCTTTTAGAGGGTCATTGAAGCCCTTGGAGGTTTATCTGTGACCTCAGAGGTCACCTGAGTTAGTGCTCCTGGTTCCTGTAGTCTGCATTTTTTTCCCCTCCTCTGGAAATCCATTCCCACTGCCTTTTAACTATGTTAGTTATGCTATGCTATTGTGGAACATGTAGAAAGAAATCTACATGAAATGAGACTTCTGCCCACTTGAGTCTTCAGTTTCTCCTTCCTTTTCTATCCATCCAGATCCGAGATGAGTGGGGCAACAAGATATGGATCTGTCCCGGTTGTGAAAAGCCGGACGATGGCAGCCCGATGATTGGGTGTGACGACTGTGACGACTGGTATCACTGGTAAGTGGCGGCGGCGGCGGCCACGTTCTGCTTCCGAAGTCATGTGGGAGAACTCTTGTGGGACTTCTGGGTGTAGTAGTCTTAGACCTACAAATGATATGGAAATGGTCATTTATTACCTAAGATTGTGTGCTGTCGGCTTATTGTTGCTATATTGCTATTGTAATCCCCTGGAAGCATACAGACAAGATCTGAACACAAAAGTGTCCAAATTGGAGCGCTTGGTCTGCATGCAATCATTTCTCAAAACATTGCTTACAATCAGTTGTCAGGGGTCCAAGTAATAGATCCATAGCAAGCAAGATTCCAAGGCAGGTGGATTCCTCAAAGAATAGCTTTATTGGATATATCATAATTGGCACAGATCTGGTGAAAACCGACTCTGAAGGTTCCTGCGGTTTTCACCTAATTAAAAATAAAAGTTTCCCCCCCCAACCCCAAATAATCCCTCGCATGGTCCAATCAAGTCACTGCCTGGTTGCCTGGCGACCTCACTCCTCCTTCCTCTATCCCTGTGTGAGAATGTCCTTGGTTCCCAAGAGAAAGCATTTTATTTTGGCTACAAAACCCCAGCTCCAATGTGGCAACACTGAAGCTCCAAGATGGCTTTGGTCAGGTCATCTTCAGTGTTGACATCAGCCTGGTTTCAAGGCGGCAGAAAGGAGGAAATATAAAGTCCACGCAAATAATCTCGCTTTGGTCCAGTGGTTAAGGCACCAGGCTAGAAACTAGGAGAACACAAGTTCTAGTCCCACATTAGTATGAAAACTGGTCATGTGACTTTGGGCCCATCACCAGGAGACAATGAGTTCTAGTCCCACCTTAGGCATGAAAGCCAGCTGGGTGACTTTGGGCCAATCACCAGGAGACAGTGAGTTCTAGTCCCACCTTAGGCATGAAAGCCAGCTGGGTGACTTTGGGCCAATTACCAGGAGACAGTGAATTCTAGTTCCGCCTTGGGCATGAAAGCCAGCTGGGTGACTTTAGGCCAGTACTTCAATCCAACTCACTTCACAGGGTGGTGGTGTTTGTGAGGAAAACAGGAGGAAGAAAGTGAGTCGGATATGTTTGCCACCTCGAATTATTTGTGAAAAATAATAAAGGCAAGATTTATGGATGGATGGATGGATGATTGGAAGATGAATATAGGTATAGTTACTATATTTAAGAATATCAGGCACGAAAGATCAGGTTCGCATGTGAAGGTCCAATTAAACTCATTTATTACTAAAAGAAAATCCTATGTACAATACAAGAATCCTCAACTAACTGCTAGCACCTGCTTGGAGTAAGATAAGGACCAATAGAATTCAAGGAGGGTTGGGCTTAGTCCTCTTGTGGCTACCTAGGGATTCTAGACTCATTCCTCTTTTAACTCTGCCTCCAAGTTCTGCCACCATCCTTCTCCTGCAATAAGTAAATGAAAACTCCAATTAAATCTGGTTTATTTTTTCTCCTAGCCCTTTCTTCCTGTTTTGGGGACGTTCCATCCCCGGGCCTAACACAGCCCTCTTTTTAGATGGTTTTATAGACCCCTATAAATTAAAACAGGGTTTTCCAGCAGCCAAGTGATACATTCGGGCTGTCCTTACTATCTGCGATATTGAATTCCTCCTTGCAAAGCACTGATGTGAATATAGACTTCCCTGAATTTTTCATTAC